AAAATTTCTAAAACCTGGAATTCTCAAACTAATTCCTTTATCTCTTATGGGCAAGTTGGTTAACTTCTCAAAGCTAGTGTCTGCATTAGTGAAATGCAGAGTCTGATCATCCTTTCAGGGGGTGACATGACGATGAAATGAGATGATGAATGTGATAAATGCTTTGGAAACTGAAGTGCTCTGCACACATATTTAGGTGTTCATTTTTTAAAAAAATATTTTATTTAACTTTATTTATTTATTTATTTAAATTTGACCAGAGAGAGAGAGAGAGAGAAAGTGAGAAAGCAAGTCACCACATTCGGGACTCAAACCGAGGTCAGCCAAGTGGAAGTCAAGTGCCCTTAACCACCATGCACCTGCTAGCCCCTTATGTGTTCACTTTTTTATTTTTTTTTTTTTTTGAGAGAGAGGTTTTTGCTATGGGGTGTGTGCCCCCGCCAGAAAGACAGAGAGAGACAGAGAGACAGAAAGCGAGAAATCATTCCCATGGCGATGGCCAGCCACAATCCTTTCTCCTCCATTCTCCTCTCAGGATCCTGGGCACGCACACATGCACATGTGCCTGGTGTGAGCCTAAGCCACCAAGTCTGGGATTCAAACCACATTTGACTACATGGGAGTCCAGCAACATAGCCGTTATGCCAACTGCTGGTCCTTATGTGTTCACTTTTAACATACACCTCTATATCGAAACAAGGTTGACATATATCACATGCCTTGTATTGTTTAATCCTTGAAGTAACTCTGAGGTAGGTAAATCCATGCTTATTTACAAACCAGGGGTTTAATTTGTAAAGAGAGGGGCCGGCAGGTGGTGTGGTGGTTAAGGACACTGGATTCCCACATGGCTGACCACGGTTTGAGTCCTGGACCTGGCAGCTTGCTTTCTCACTTTCCCTTTCTGTCTCTCTGCCTGTCTCTGGTCAAATTAAAAAATGATAATAACAAATGGAATTAAATAAGTAAATAAATCTTAAAATAAAAAAAAAAGAGAGAATAAGTGATTTGCCTGAGATTAAACAGTTGGTCAGGATCTGTCTGACTCTAAAATCAGTGCAGATGCTCATTGTCCTGGACTGTCTTCTTGAAGCAGAAAGCCCTGCCGCTAGAATCGGGCCTCCTTGTTTCACTCCTGAGTACTGGCCACATTAATTCCGAGTTACCAGTTAGGGGCATGAAGGGTTCCAGCTCAAAAGATGGGAAAATTCTTACCTGTGTATTTTCTTTTCCCAGGGTTTGACTTCTTTGAAGCCAGTGCCAAGGAGAACATCAGCGTGAGGCAGGCCTTCGAGTGCCTGGTGGATGCCATTTGTGACAAGATGTCTGATTCGCTGGACACAGACCCCTCGGTGCTGGGCACCTCCAAGCACACACGCCTCTCGGACACCCCACCACTGCTGCAGCAGAACTGCTCGTGCTAGGCAAGGCCCACCCTGCTAAGCTCCCCGTATTGTGGCCCCACACCCACTCTGCTCCTCCCTGTTACACCCTGTCTGCTCCTAGCTCCCAGCAAGCTGAGTTGCTGCCGTTTTATGCCTGCTCCTGGGCTTCTCTGCAGATGGCCCCAATTACAGACACTGCACTAGGTGAACAGTGCAGGTCACCACATGGGTGCAGATTCACTTTACATGAGATTTCATTTTACAAAGGGAATTCACCACGGGGATTGGAAAGCGAGTCTCTTTTTTGCCTTTAAAATGAGATTTTCTCCATTTACCAAAATTTGACACACATACATACACACACACACACATACACACACACACACTTTCAGAGGCTGGCCAACTTTGTAAAGTGAAGCCCACCTGCACAGCTAATCTTATTAAAGAAAATCTCCCAAAACACAACACACTTGTTTCGTATCAGGCTCCCTGTGGGGCATCCTCTCACTGCAAGTCAAGCTTTGGCTCACAAAGCCCTGTGCCTGTTACCATGAATGCCCACAGGGCCTGGGCAGTTGCTGTGGTGACGGGCCAGAACTAATCTCCAGAGAGCTCAGATTTTCTAATGATGCTGCAGGAGCAAAGGCTGAGTCAGAAACATACTTAAAAGAAAAAAGATTATCCCCTGCAAAATGTCAAAGATTCCTGCCACATGAAAGAGCAAGTAAGGGAACTCAGGAAAGGACGAGAAAAAGAGAAACACGGGTGAGATAAAGAAATAGGTCATGCGCTTCTGATTTGACTGCTTTCCAGCTGCTTCTTAACTGTGGCAACTCCATGAAATTGGGCATTGGTTGTTAGACTCCCAGAGTTAGAAAATTTTAGAGTCAGTAGGAAGTCCAAGTTCGCCTAGTTCTAACCTTCCTACCTGGAACAAATGGCAGTCAGACTTCACAACTGAATTTCTGTCTTCTAAAGCTCACCTTCTAGGTAGGGGAGGGAGCTCAGTGTCCTCACCATCTTCAGTCAGCTCTCAGAGTAGAAAGTTTCCTTGCTCCAAGCTCAAATCTGCCTCCTGGAAATTCTTCTTTCCACCCGATTTGTACCGGGTCCACTCTTAAAGACACCTCACAGAGTCTACCCCCTCTATCTTGTGACACTCTTAGATAATTTGAGAATAATAATCCATGATCTCTAAAACCTGTTCTTTCTCAAGGTCAAATATCTCTATAATTTCAACTGCTTTTCTTCATAGGGGTTTCTCCCATCTTGTCCCTTTTCTCCAATCCATCTTTCCATTTATTCCTGCGCAGTACCCCCAGGAAATGTGATTCAAGGCAGAATAAATCTAAGGAGGCATGATCCTGAGAAAATCAGGAAAACTGAATTCAGAGGTCCCAATCCCAACCCTGTTCTGGGAATGAAACCTTAGTTTCTACCAAAGAGTTGATGTGAAACCAATTATGGTGGAAACCCCTAAATTAAACACTTAAAAAAAAAGAAAGAAAGAAAGAAAGAAAACAACTCTGAGACTAGAATGGAGTAACTCATGATTCCAGCCTGCTG